TGGGACTGGCCTTCCCATTGAGTCTCAGGGTAGGGGTCGACCCATTTTGGTGTTCAGCCTGAGGTAGGATTTGAAGTTGGGTCTACCGATCATGAGCTTGATGCAACAACCATTATACTACCAGTGACCAGAAGAATAAATTCCCTCTCACTGATAATTTCTCGATTATATTTCCAAATGTAATATATGCAAGCAGTTGTCAATGAAGATCCAATGAAGGATGACGCCATGGATGTAGATGAATTCACCGGAAGCAGAAGTTTGAGCTATGTTCAATTCGTATTTAGCACTAGAAGTTCGGTTTCCAACAACTTGAAAGAACCAGTACAGTGCCCCCAAGAAAAAAATTAAAAAAATGGTAACTTCCATTAAATGACAAATGCTATTCGCTAGTTCACGGACTTTTACCTGTAATGAGAGCCGTTTTTTTTCTTTGAGTTTGGATTTTTTTCTTCTAGCTTCTGCATTCTGCAGTTGACAGAGACATAAAAGGGAATGAGAACATTTTACCAGATACGTATTATTCAAGCCGTATAATGTGCAAGTATGGGGAAAATATAATACAACTGTTAAGTTTATAGCAACTCCAATGCTTTACATATTAAAAATAAATCAATCAACCTAGAACTCAAATAGCATCAGAATCAAGTGTGAAGTACTATGTAAAGTTACCATTGTTCGGCAGAGCTTTGCTCTACATAAATTGAGACGATATGCATATGACACTAATGTATCCAGTAATTATTTTACAATGTTTTGTATTTTTCCAGGTTTTTGTTTTCATGCAGCGGTCACTCTGGTTCTCTCTGTTTTTCTTATTTTCTGACATTTTTCTGATCGTCTTTCGATGATTTACAAATAAAATGCAAATAAATGTAAAATAACAAATATTAGCTCATTGGCTGTTGATCGCTGATGAATAAGAAAGTGTTACTAAAATGAAAGTAATAGTAATTTCTGGAATGAAATGTTGTTTTCACGATAGTAAGTTGTTTCTACGCTGTAGATGATTTAAGATACTGTAAAATCATGGCAGGTGCCTTTATGTAAAATCTTGAATACTATTTACTAAAGTTATTATAATTAGAAAAATAATTAGAAGCCATAATTTGCATATTGATTAAAAGGTATAGTTACTATATTAAACCCCTGATTGGCATGTTAAATATAAATCATATTTATTATTCTGAATCATAGTTTGCATATTAATTAGAAATCATAGTTTGCATATTAATTAGAAATCATAGTTTGCATATTAATTAGAAATCATAGTTTGCATATTAATTAGAAATCATAGTTTGCATATTAATTAGAAATCATAGTTTGCATATTAATTAGAAATTATAATAATCAGACTAACCACTGCATAATGCAATAAAGCAATACTGATAAACATGCATAAAACAAGTTTGTACAGGGTCGTGAACTAAGTGTTTGTTTTATATTAGAAAATCGCAGTGTATCAATTGTCGAAACACATATTGCTTTCATCGGATTCGCCAATGTGCACTTGAAGATTGAACGATCATTTAATGCATAATTTTCCAGCAGTGTGTCCCCATGGAAATAAGTATTTCTGAACAGACGATGGAATCCGACGTTTTTATGAACACTCTAAATTATGGCCTTGTATCACAACCTTTCAAGTAGGTGTAAACAACGAGCGTTGAATTCTGAGAATGGGATAGTCTTTACCCTGAAATCTTTGAACTAATCTATGTCAATATTTCACTGTAAATAGACTGACATTGTCTCAGTTCGTAGAATTGAGAAAATCCGGCGATCTATAAATAGCAGGTAATTCGTAGAATTTTATGGCAGTTATTTCGTAGAATTTCGTACGTGCTGTAGATACTAGACCGATATACGTGCATGGTAACACTGTTCACATTCCATGTAGCTGTAGTTGGGCGTCGTTTTTAGTCCATAAGAGTGCACTGACCTTTACAGGGACAGATAATATGATTGGCTTGACCTAAAACGACGCGAATAACTATGCACAGTGCTGTTTAATATTGATTTCAAAAATCGCCATAATAGTCCTAATTGTAATAACAGCGGTCACAAAATACAATAGCGTCACCCCGTTATCTTGTGTTTCAATTAAGTATTCAGCGTTTAATTTGAAATAAAATTGAGTGCATTTCAAGAGTGCACGTTGCCAACGGTACAACGAATTATTTGAGTGTAGGTCACCTCGCGTATATGAACGTTGTGCGCATGTCTATTATTACTTGTACCGTGAAAGTCGATAAATTTCTACGAAATTGTTGCTATTTTTAAATCGATGGATATTCCATTTTCTGCGAAATTAGTGTGCGCACAGTTGCACCTAAAATTCGGGGGGGGGGGGCATAATCAGTGGCCTGGACAACTTCAAGTTGCAATAGGCACGTTTAATCTCCATGGTGATTTATATAAAAATATACAAAATAATCATAAAGAATAGAGGGATGATGTGATGATTTGAAGCTATGACGTTTAGTTTAGTTATTTGCATAATGACATTGATACATTGCATGGAACATCTCACGAGAACTTGGGCTCAGTTCCAGACCTTGCAGTAGCAGTACTAAACATCTTAATTACAAGTGTTCTTCTCCAGTGCGTTATTCTAGTTATCTCCCCCTGGATTCTACCTTCTACCTTGAGAAGTCTGTTTAAAGATGAATATTCCCATAGTTTACTCAGGACAAATGTTGCCACAATAAAACGTTAATGTCAGTAAATCACTATACATAATAACGAATAAATCGGAGATCGATTAGTATACACCTTACCCATGTAATCCTCACTGACCCAACCCACCTCAGTCCGAGTGCGCCCTCGTCGACAAAACTGACGATGTACTTCGTTTAATACATACCATTGTTTCACACCGTCGATATCAATCAACTGCTATGTTTTTTTGTCACACACACACGCATACAGGTGTCCCATGAATTGTGGAGCCACCATTGAATTAACTTTTAATATAGTTGAATTAACTTTTAATATAGTTGCGATATGAACTCGATTAAAACGCGTTCCTATATAGGGTTGCGTTTTACAATGCAATACAATGGAGAATTGCACTTTAATTAAGTTTAATTAAACTAGAGTTGAATATCCCGTGACTGAACATAGAAATGTTTG